TGCAGATTAAAAGCAAAATGGGTTTGGCACACTCTGCAATCACCATCAGTCTTATGCGGGCTTGTCAGGATATTTCAAAATAAGAGGAAGAATGAGAGCCGCGATTATATTGGATTTTTCCTGCCCGTTAATGGGTTGAAATTCCTCCCCGCGCTGTGCGCTTTAAGATACCGTGGAGAATTCAAGGACTGTAGCAAAGCTGAATTCAAAAGCAGATTTGTAAATTTTCGTCCAAAACTCTCTCAGTCTCTTGGGAGCCTCTTAGAAAACACACACACACACACATACACACCACAAACAAACAACAAGCAATCTGCAGCCGATGAAGGATGTCAAAAACAAGAAGGGAAATTAAAAAGAGAAGCAGCAGCAGTTAAATTCTGCACTGCCACATTTCATTATTTATATCCTCCTCTCATCATGACTCCAGTGATGCTGCCGGCAGCGACAGTGTCCTTTGTCGTCGTCATTGTCGTTTTCTTAGTTTGAATATAACTGGTTAAAAAAGGCTGTCTGTCACTGGTTTCTGTAGTGGAAGCTGACCCAAGCCTGCTGGGAACTGAACTGTAGTTAATTAGTACACAAAGCCTGAGGGACAAAGAAAGTTTAAGGGAGCTGAGGGCGGATTGGAAGTGGTGGGTGAAGATTTGGGATGGGGGAGTCTTAAGTGTGTGGCACAGAGGGACTTATTGGGGGGGGGGATGCTTTGTGTGTGTGGGTGTGTTCCTGTGTGGGGTACAGCAGGGGTGGGTGGAGGCGGAGGGATGAAGCAGAGGGAGCTGAGGCGCACAGACGGATGAATTGGCATCGTGAAGGGGAGCCTTGTCCCTAAGCTGAGAGCTTCTGCGAGCCAGCACACAGACACACACACACACACACTCTCCCTGCTGGAGCCCGTCAAGAAACAAAAGGCCGGGTGGGTCTGGTGGGAAAGGACCTAAAAGGAGAGACTGCAAGATAGAGACTGCAAAAGGTCAAAGTATGGCATGAACTAATGAGGGCAGGCAGTTTGTCACGACGCCACTTTGCTCTGGAGATGACACTTTGATGAGCGGTAAACTGTATCGTCTTTCTGAAAGCCTCACAGGGAAACAATTATACGTCCCAGCAGTATTTCCCAAGAGGCCTCAGTAACTCTCCCTGCACGGCCCCACTTTTATAGTAGGATTGATCAATTGATGCATTAGGTAAAGATGAACTGGGCTGATGGGACCAAGTAAAACTGTCTCATGCAGCTCAAATCACTTCTGGTTATTATTGCAGTGTATCAGCCTCAAAGGCTGCTCAATAACCCAGGAGAGGCGCTCTCTATCCATTGTTATCAAAGCTCATATTGACGTCCTCCAACCAGTACGACCACAGTCCACTTAATGCCACAATTGATCGCCACTTAACGGCAATGAGCGGGGAGTCCGGGCTGGTATTACCTGCTGCCAGCGCGGACAAACACTTTGGGCCAGTGGCTGCTGGCAAACCAGCTTCCTCCTCCTCCTCCATCTCCTCCCACCTCCTCCCTCCAACCCGCCAGCTGCGTTAAACCACTCGAAAACGTCCAGGTGAAAAACGGAAATGTCGATGTTTTGCCTTCAAAATAAAAGGCCCCATAGGTAAAACGCCAGTAAAGCAGGAGCTAACGCTGATCTAGCGTGTGCAGTGGTTAATTTAGCTGATGTCATTTATTAATGTTTATACCGGGAATAAAAATAATTAAACAACAACAACAACAAAAAAGCGGCCCCTTATTTACAAAAAGGATGTCCACACTACAGAAATGGATCAGCATATTTAATTTAACATACATTTTACATTAGATACAACCCCTCCCACTTACCCAAGCTTTACTGGGAGTACTGTGTCCACTGAGGTCGGGTTCCTTTCTCCTTTCAGTCTTGAACTGGTGACCAGTAATATATAAGGAAACTGTAATAAGTACTAGACCACGGAGGAATAGAAGTTGCTTAAATAAATAAAGTTTTGTGAACACAGGTTGTGGTAACTACATGATATAAAATAAACTACAAATTCAAGAATTTCTATTAGTAATAACACACCACGTCACCGCTTTTGCTGCTTCTTTGATAATAATAACAATAACAATAATAATAATGATAATTTATTTTGTGCTATTCATTTATTGTTTATTGTAGAGTGTAGTATTTTAATTCTGCTGCTGAAACACAGCAATTTCTCTTGTGGGATTAATAAGGTAGCTATCTATCTATTTATCATTCATCGATTTTTATGTCTATCCAGTTGTCTTTAAAGACATGCTCTTGTTTTGAAAGTTCCTACCGGAAGCCTAGGGTTCACGGAGTCTGCCTTGACGCCGCCTCGAGCTCCCAGCCCCCCTCTGTGTGTGTGTCTGTGTGTGTGTCTGTGCCCCTGTGTTGCCATTCCGACGCACATCTCTCGCAGAGGAGCAACAGCCGCACGGAGTTGGTCGGACTTCACAGATTCCTCTGCGGGCGGAGAGCGCTTCACACTCCGGGCTTCCACCCTCTTCTCCCGCGGGGGGAAGCAACACAGAGATGCGCCCCTGGACCGAGGCTCCGTGTCGGTAAAGTCAGAGAAAGAGAATGAGACTGAGAAAAGGGCGCAGCGTAGCGGTCCTGTAAGCACCGCATCCACAACTACACTCCGGGGAGGATCTGGGGAGCTGGGTGAATGCAAACATACAGACACACTCGGCTACCTCTCTTTCTTTTGAGGATTTGGGTTGAATGGGGCGGCGAGAGCCCTCATCACAACTGAAGACATGAGAATGTGGAGGGGAACAAAAAGCTCGGCTGCGGTGCTCCGTGGTTGAGTCTCCGTCCATCCATCCATCCACTCCAGGTCTACACACCTTTATTCATGTTGCAAAAGCCTGGTTTATGACAATGGATTACTTGCTGTGGGTGTGCAGCCTCGTTGTCCCTGTGGTCCTGGCTGTAGAAGGTAGGTCGTTTGATATTTTTCATCACTACTTTTTTGCTCCCCGCGGATGAACAATGGGTTGTTTGTAGGCGCTATAAACTGACAGCGAACCATGTCATTGTCAGGCAGAGGGATACAAAAATCAAAAACATACAATTACACACACCGTGCTTCCTTTTCATGACAGTGTGAATCACGTTGAGGTCAGTTTGAACACCACATCAGTGATGCACGCTGTCTGCACCGGAGAGATTACATGCAACACGGCATTCGTGTGTTCCGTAATTACGGCTGTAAATATAAGGCGGGCTCCTGGGCTGAGCGTCAGTCTGCAATTCATGCACACATGCATCAGAACGCCCCAGTCCGTGTGTGTGTGTGTGTGTGTATTTGTGTATGATTACTCCCCTGTGTTTCCATTGCGGCTGAAGGACTGCCCTGTTGCTATTGTCCTTGTTGTCACACCCACGAGCCCGGTGAGGATGCCCACCTGCCCCACCTTCCTTCCCCCCCACAGCTCCACAGAGGTTAGAGACGGACTCCACGGAGGAGAAAAAGAAAGGGCTCCTCGTGTGATGCGTGCGAGAGGTGCAGACATGCTGTGGGTCCTGTTAAGCGGGGCTGCTTTAACAAGTCCCGGTGTGGCTCAATCTCTGGCCCCCGGACAATGCCGCTGGGACGCTCATGTGAAACGTTTTAAGATGACAAGTGTGAGTTAAAGGTCAGCGGCTTAACAAGTGCGCTGCGAGCCCACCCCGGAGCCCCTCCAGCTCTCTCCCCACCTCCCCCGGGGGGAGAAGCCCACCATCGCCCACATCCCTTGCTCCCTCGCCCGTGGGCTCCTCTCTCCGAGCTGTAGCTACATTTCTCTGCTCTGCCTCGCCTCGCCTCCCTCTCTCCCCTCCCCGTCCAATCTGCCTCTCCTGGACCGTGGCCAGCCCCTGATCCCTCATCAATTCTGGTGTCAGCAAGTAAATCAATGCAGCGGCAGCAGCACTCCCCGAGTCCCAGTGGGATCTGACGCCGAGGTGATCAGCCCCGCTTCCCCCCCTCAGCCCGACCACTAAGTGTTACTCAAAGCACGGGGGTTAACTAATGTTTGTCCTCTGAGGGTAAACATGAAGGGCAGATCATCACTCGGGTTTAAATGAGAAGTCGCGGTGATGATGATGTGGGCGGGATTACATGTGCCTTGAACAGTGGGGCCTCTTGTTGTTGTTGGATCCACCTTGGCAACTTGAAAGTGTGCGCTTTAATTGCCAAAGTGATCAGGATGACTTATCTCCGGTTCGCGCCAGCAGATTGCAGTAAAAGCCTGGGCCAGCTGTGACGTTTTTACGTTCTAATGCTCTCGTTTACAGTCGGCGTTTACTGTACTCTTTTTTAAAAAAAGCTCGTAAACGAGATGGATGAGCGCTCAGAAAGCGTTTTACAAACGCGCCCTGCAAGGCTGCGGTGCAAAACGGCGGATTTTCATATTAAAAGAGCCTCATTCACATTTGTTTTTCCTTCACTGCTTCCCACACACACGAATGTCAACAAGAATCGTTATTTGTTGACCTGTAAAAGCAGCTGCGCGTGTTTAAATTAGGTCAGCAGCACAAAAAGGTGCTCATCATCAGGCGTCAAACTGAGCGTCGCACTCAGCTGTGAGCCTGTAGAGAGAGAGAGAGACAGAGAAAGAGAGAGAGGTGCACTGAGTGAAGTTATTATTATTATTAACACCTGCAGAATTTACAGATCTTCACGGCGACGACGATGATGATGATGTTTTGGGCTGTTAATATTTTATGTGTTTGCATGTCGGCAGAGTGTCTTGTGTAGTACAAGGGGGAGGAGGGGGGGGGTCCCTTTCATGATGCGGCCGCTCGTACAAAGTGAATAAAACATCAGCGCGTGTGAGCTCCCACAGCGCAGAGCTGTGTGGCATTTTGGCGATTATAAAAAATACAAAAAAAAAGGGAGAAAGAAAGAACCTCAAATGCCACGGGGGTGGTGATGCTCTAAAGTTCCCACTGCAGAGCATTGTTTTCTTTTACCCCTGGGGGCAGAACGACTCCACTGCTGCTGTAGTTTTATGGGAGAGGTGGTGGTAACGGTGGTGGAGGGGAAGAGATTTCTGGATTTGAGTTATAGCAGTTAGGGGATCTCAGAGGCATTGTAAATTTAACGGGAGAAGGGGTGGGGGTGAGGATGGGGAAGAGGTGTGGAACAAATGGGATCTTTTTCAGCGGGTTTCTGGGAGTCAGTGGCTTGATGATGATGAGGAGGAGGAAGAGGACGTTGACACACTCTGGTGAGGAACAAAAATCGTGTTCACGCTGCAGTTTTAGTGTTTCGAGCAGCACGTGAGCACAGACTGCACAGGAGTCCACGTCTTTAAGATCTCAGTAGACATATTGTCTTCCTCCTGCTCCGCATGGAGGTCAAAGGTCCACCCACTCCCCTCTTAAACACCCCCCCTCCCCCCCATCAGCTGGGTGCAGTCCTTGCCTTCGCAGAGGGGGCTTTTACAGATATGAGCTGGTCACCTTGCTGCCCCTGCTTGTTGCGCCGTGTGAGGTGAAGCCTGTTTTAAAGAGGCATGAGCTCGAGGCTGTGGTTAGCTGAGGCTGAGCGGATCTGTCTCCTGTTGCCTCTGGGAACAGGGGATAGAGGGAAGGGGAGGTGTGGGGGTGGATCAGACACTCTGGAGACGGGCCTGGATCCACGGATCAGCAGCGAGCCGTCCAGTGCTCACTTGGCTGTGCGCCGCCGAGGGCCCGCGTGTAGCCAAGCAAAGACAACAGGCGCTGATTTCACTGATTAGTCCCCCCTCTCTCTGGCTCGAGTCGTGCTAATCAGTAAAACAACCTTGTACACGAACGTGCATTCGGGCTCGACAAGTGAAGTTATTAACCGCTGTCGCTCATGCCCTTTCGCACGTAAAGCTCAGAAAACTGAGAATGCATTTGCCCTCTGCGCAAATGTTACCTATTAATTATCATGCCCAGGTAAATGGGATTTCTATTGTCAACACGCAGACACACAAAAATGGAAGCAGCCACTTATTCCTCCTTAAATTAAATGATTTTTTCTTTATTGCAGCACCACTTATATGCTTATTCCAACCTAGCAGCCTACTTTTCATTTCTGAATGTACTGTACATTAAATAAATTCTGCTTAAGCACAAATCCCACACTTAAATGTGGCCTATTATGCTAATTTCCCGCACCATGTTTTTTATTCTTGGACTGGGTTGGAGTACCTCCTAGCTCTAAAAAAATCCTCATTTTCCTCTTTCTGGGTCTTGGTCCAGCTCCTTATTTTCTCTGTCTGAAACAATGTGCTTTAGCTCCTTTCCCTTTAAGCCAGCATGCCTCTGATTGGCTGCCTCTGGTATACAGAAGGTTTAATAACAAGGGGGTGGGGCTTCAGTCCTTCTTGCTGACATCACACAGAGCCAAGAACCAAAAAAAGCTATCTAAAAGTGATTGGTTCATATAGCTCAGAGGGATTTCCTGCACATATGCTCACCTCACTGAACTTTGACCGTGCTTAATGTGAGCATCTACCACTGTAACAGAATATGAAATTAAAAAAGGGGGTGTAAAGGAAAACATTTTTAGTTCTTCTTCAGCTAATGCGCGACTCACGACTCCTCTTGCTCTCCATTATTTCAAAATTATCAAGTCATTATGAGTTTATGTGATTAGTGAATGCCTAATTAACCATCATTTAGCGACGGCTAATACACAGTTACGTCTTACATGTACACGGCTAGATTAGCTGGATCCCAGTCAGAAAGGGAAAAGCTGTTCCCATAAGTGTCTAAAATGCTGCTACGTGTCCCGAGGATCACAGATGGCGACTGATCAATCAGGGAGCATAAACTCATTACATAAACTCTTAGTGGCTGGATCCGATCACACCGGTGACCTACAGGAAATCGTGATGCATGGTTGCATTGAATCATCATGAATCATGCTTTAGATCAAACTGAGACACAGCACCACCCACCCCAGCTTTATGTTAAGCTTGCGTGCTTCATCTTCACTGACTTTTTGCAGTCTCAAGCATTTTATTAGTGAAGCCTTACAGGATTTAACTCTCAGTTTATCGCTGCACATCAAGCAGCTGTTATCATTTACACACACATCCAACGTTACCTAGCATAAAAACGCCACATCGGGATGTCTGTTTGCTTCCCTTTATCCTCGATGTGAACGTAACTGTATGAAAGACAGATCAGTTCAGGGGCGGATCTACAGGGGGGCAAGGTGGGGGCAAGTGTCCCCCTGCTGTGGAGCCTTCTATTAGTCCTGTACAGTAATTTAAGTAATTTTTCTCTGTTTGTTTTCTGTATTTATTTATTTCTGTATTTATTCTGGAGAACCTTTTTTCGTCTCATTTATTGTCTCTTTGTTTTCTTAGAAGAGATAATAATACAAAAATAGTTTTAAAGCATTTTTTGTTGGCTCCATTAACATATAGGGGATTTTCAAATACCTTTTTAAAGAGGAATGTGCCACCCTGCCTAAACCCCCACCCCCAGGTAAAATTTCCTATATCCATCAATCACTGTGTGTCTTTCATTCTGCAGTTAGAATGAAAACTATTGTAATCTTGCATCTCCACTGGCACACTATTGACCACCACAGAAAAGTAATCCATCCCCGTGCATGTATAGATCTATGTCCATTATCTCCCATGCTCTGATAAAAAAGAAGAAGAAAAGCCGCTGTGGTTTTGTCTGAATAACGCACATCGCTCATATCAGCAGCCACAGATGGACGACCGATTTAGTCACCCAAATGCAACGTATTTTAGTTAGTGACACTCAAAAGCCAAGGACGCACTGTGGTGTAACCACTGTCTTCAGCGGGCTCCACCGGAACAAAGCCACCAAGTGCTACTGTTGCTCCACACAGGACACGCTATTTGTTTTAGCCTCTCACACCCTTCTGCGGCACTGTTATCAACAACTTGTGAGCAAATGGTGCACAGCGGGAGTTGTGTCATTGAGTCTCCGCGAAGAAAAGTGTAATTGTTTCAGTAATTAGCAGCAGAGGAACAATGGGAGCTTGCACGGCCACACAGCTGTAAGAGTGAGTGAGGTATCAGATGAACTCAGCAGATCACCCCCACTCAGGTAAACGTGTGATTGACAGCCAGACGACAGAGCTCATTGATCCTGCTGTTTATTCTCAACTTCTC